AGGGAATATGTCCTGAGAAATGCATTGCTAGGCAATTTCATCCTTGTGCAAACATCGATAGAGTACATTACACAAACTTAGATGGTACAGCCTACTATACACCTAGGCTCTAAGCTCCTACACTACAAGCCTGTATAGCAGGTTACTGTACAGAACAGCATGAGACTAAACCAAGCACAAGAGAAAATGATGCAATCAAGAGACGCATGAGATGTGAGGTCACTGTCGGCTTAATATGACATATTGTTGTACAGCAAATTCTTTTATAAGTAGAAAGAGCACTCTAAAACCCTGATAAAAAGTCTAGTATAGTAAATAACATAAACCAGTAACAGTTTTTTATTGTTATTATCAAGTATGTACTGTGCATAATTGTATGTGCTGTACTTTTATATGACTGGCAGCAAATAGGCTTGTTTACACCAGCATCACCACAAATATGTGAGTAATGTGTTGCACTTGGCTGTTACCATGGTTACGAAGTCACTAGGCGATGGGAATTTTTCAGCTTCTTTATAATCTCTGGGACCACCTTCATATTTATGGTCAGTCATTGACAGAACTGTTGAAATGCAGCATAGGGTTGTACTCACAGCTTACTTCGAAGGCCATTTTATATAGCAATTGTTTTCAAATGTCATAAACCTTCTTTTGTTACTTTCTTGTAAAATATTTGTCCTTGGTGAGATAATTTTATTTTATTTTTAATACTTTTTTATTGATTTCAGAGAGGAAGGGAAAGGTAGAGAGAGATAGAAACATCAATGATGAGAGAGCATCATTGATTTACTGCCTCTTGCACACCCCCTTCTGGGGATGGAGCCTGCAACCTGGGCATGTGCCCTTGACGGGAATCAAACCGGGACCCTGCAGTCCACAGGCTGACACTCTATCCATTGGGCCAAACCAGCTAGAGCAGGTAATTTTATTTTTAAATAATAGCTAAATCCTTTTATCTAGTAACAGGTTTCACAAAGTAGAATTTTTAAAGTAGATTTCTAATACAGATGATTGATTTTGAGTTAGATTTTTGAAAGAGAGAAATTCAGACGAGATCAGGTGTGTTCAGGGTGCTATGGCCGTAGACAATTTACCATAGTTAAGGTTTGGAAACAGCCTAAGTGCCCATCAGCAGATGAGGGATTAAAAAACTGTGGTACATCTACACAATGGAATGCTACACTGTGGTAAAAAAGAAGGAGTTCTTACCATTGCAACAGCATGGATGGAACTGGAGAGCATTATGCTAAGCGAAATAAGCCAGTCAGAGAAAGATCTCATGATCTCACTCATTTGTGGAATATAATGAACAACATAAACTGATGAACAAAAACAGATCCAGAGACAGAGAAGCATCAATCAGACCGTCAAACCTCAGAGGAAAGGTACGGGAGGGAGAGATCAACCAAAGGACTTTTATGCATGCATATAAGCCTAACCAATGAACACAGACAACAGGGAGGTGAGGGCATGAGTGGGGGTGGTTTGGGGGGACAATGGGGCAATAAGGACACACATGTAATACCTTAATCAATAAAGAAAAAACATTATAAAAAATTCAGGGACACTGTTCATAAATAAGGCAGTTGGCTATAATGTAATGATGTTATATTCCATGGTTTGTAAATTGGCTTTGAAAGTTTTTTAAAGGAGTCTCAAGAGTTTTTAAACAATGAGGCTTATGTAAACATGTATATAGTATTTATTATATAGCATTATTATATACCATGCACAGTATAAGTACTTTATATCTATTAATTCATTTATACTCACAACTAACTTATGCGAAAGGTATTATTATTATTATACCCATTTTATAGATGAAGAACTGACCCACAAAAAATTTAAGAAACTTATGTCACAAACTAGGAAGTAGAGTTGGAATTCAGTTTCAAATCTAGGTACTTCACTGAGGATGATATGCTAAACTATCTTTGTAATGTTAATTTTCCCAATATAATCAATCATGCCTTCAAATAAAATCCATGATCTCGTTTTTATACAGCCCGTAAGCTAATTTTTTGATGTTTGAAAAAACACTAAAAGAGGGAGAATATTTTGTAGCACATGGGTATTATGTGAAATTGAAATTGTAGTGTCCACACAGACAGTGTTTTTGGGGGCACATCGCGTAAATTGGTTTATGGATTGCCCATGCTGCTTTTGCAGTACAACAGCAGAATCGAGTAGTTGTGACAGAGACTGATTCTCCCAGAAAGCCTAGAATTTTCACTTCTGATCCTTTTTAAAAAAGTTTGCTGACCTCTGACTTAGCAGAATAATAATATGGATAACTTTGTCCTAACACATTTCTCAAAAGAAATTCCAAAAGAAATCAGATACAGTAGTTTATATTGTAGTGATTTGATTTGACATTGCTTATGTTAAATTAAATTTTTTCTCATGCATATAATATGTATCTATTTGTTCAATAGCTGTTTAATTCACATATGCCAGTCATCGTTTGTAGAAAAATTTAAAAATGCTGGAAAGTATACAGACTAAAATAAAAACTGTAGTGTCATTATGGCCAGCTCTCATGTTCTCAAAAATATCTATTTAGTGTTTTGCAGATCATTAGAAAATCAATAAATCTTTATTAGTAATTAATTTCATTGTATTTTACACATAGAATGTTTCTCATTATGTGCTGAATGACTCTACATGTTTATAAAGAGATAAAAGAAAACCATGTAGAGACAGCTTTATGATGAAAAAAAAAAGCAAAATACTAAATACAACTAGAACGAGGCAATGGAGTCCTGTGGTTGAAGGCAGGCCCTGGAGCCAGACTGGCTGCCTCCAAATCCTGCTACACTGCTTACTTCAGCCTGTTATACCCAGAAGCACTCAGCTGAATAGAGCATCCTCTCTCCCTGGCTTAAGTTTCCTCATCTGTAGACTTATGTGTTTGAGATGAAAGGATATGTAAGATCTCAAGGATTTTATGATCATACTAGAGGCCCAGTGCATGAAACTTGTGCACTCAGGTGTGGGGCGGGGGTTCCCCCAGCCTGGCCTGTGCCTTCTCACAGTGTGAGAGCCCCACCATCGATCTCCCCAAAGAGGTAGGCCTCTCCCACCCACCCAGGGCTCCTCAATGGATTGCCCCAAAGAGGTAGGCCAGAGCTGGGGTCCTGCCTCCGTGCTGCGTGGAGCTGCTGGGACCCGCCTCCACGCTGTGCAGGCAGCATCAAGCCCCCGCCCACCGTGCATGCCTCACACACTCAGCCTCCTGGTGATGGATTGTTATGACGTGAGGGCATCACAGTGTGAGGGCATGACGAACACATAGGCTTTTATTAGAATTGATAAGTTCACAGGAAAGAACAGATACCATGTTTTGCAATTTTTAACATTTCAATGAAGACACATTGTTTTGTGTGGTGTAAGACACCAAGCAGATAAGAACAAGGTCAGATAAATATTTGCCATTGGCTAAACATTAACCATTGCTTCGTAATATTAGATTAATTCTTTGATCCTTCTTTGAAAAATAAAATGTTCGTTCATTCATGTACTAGTATGGTCCTTCTATTTTTCAAAGTTAAGTGAATAACATATAGTAGTAGAGATAATTTTGACACCCAAACACATTGGCCAGAATTAGAGTTAAAGATGAATAATTATTAAATAAATAAAATATCGAGAAATTCCCCTTTCATTCTTCAATTCAATTAAAAACCCACAACAACTCATAGACACGAACAGTAAGGTGATTACCAGAGGAAAAGGGGAGGGGAGAGAAGGGGAAGCAGAAGAGGATAAAGAGGATAAATGGTGATGGAAAGAGATTTGATTTTGGGTGGTGAACTCACAATACAATAGACTGATGATGTATTATAGGATTGTACACTTGAAACC